AACCTGCGAGCGAAGAAGTAAGACAAAGTATCTTTTTCATTCTAAAATCGACAATTATCATTTTAATGTATGAAGATCATGAAAATGTTTTTTGACATTCGCTGTAGGAAGGTAAGCCTTCAAAGGAAGATGTGGCAACAGAAGAAGATAAACAAGAATCGGTAGAAGAAACTGGAGGCGCAGAAAGTGCCGAACAAGGTGTGCAAAGTGCTGAAGCTGGAGAAGAACCAGGAGAAAGTGCCGAAGCAGGTGAAGCAGAAGGAGGTAAATGTTAAAGGATCAGTATTTGCATCAACCTGTTAATCTTCTTCTTACATCTATAAATTCATTCAAGTTAGGTAATTAATATTGCACCAAACTAATACTGTATACTCAATACTGCTCCTTTATGAGCATAGATACTTCTTTCGATTGTTATCTAATTATTCTTGCCTTTTTATATAATTTTTCTTATCTTAAATAAAGTATCTTAACTCAATAAAATTTCTTACCTTAACAAATTAGATTAAATTCCTGAAGCTTTTGTAGAATCATAAAACAAAGGAAGCTAGAATACAATATCACGTCTCTTCTTTCATGATTCTGATCTACTGCCAAAGTATTAAAAAACATATTATTGCTTCTAGGTGAAAGCGAGCAACCAGATGAAAAGTCCGGAGAAGTAGTCAAAGAAACCGAGGAGGATAAGGAGGAATCTGTGGAACAAGCGGAAGAGGGTGGTGAAGATTCTGCTCAGGAAGGAACTGAAGAGGATAAGGATGTAAAATCTGGTGAAGAGGAAAAATCGGAGGAGGCAGCACAAGTGGAAAAGTCTGAGGAAGAAGAACCAGCGGATGCTGGAAAATCAGAAGAAGAAGTACAACGGGATGCTGAAATCGATGTAGATGAAGGAAAATCCGAGGAAAAATCGCAGGCTGACGATGGAAAATCCGACGAAGCACAAGCCGAAGGAGAATCGACTGAAGAAGCGAAAATCGACGAGGAGAAATCCGACGAAGAAGCCAAGACCGAGGAGGTGAAGTCTGACGAAGAGAAAACCGAAGACGACGCGACCGATTCGAAGGCGGAAAAGGCAGAAGAAGCAGTTTCTAAAGAAGAAGATGAAAAAGACCAAGATAGTAAAACCGAAGAGGAAGGTCAATCAGTGGAGCAACAAGTAAGCGGAGAAGAAGCAAAGGAAGAGAGTAAAGAAGGTGAAGGTGAAGGTGAAAGTACAGAAGGCCAAACAGAGGAGAAAGCAAAACAGAGTGAAGAAGCTGAAGAAGGTAAGTCTGAAGAAGAAGCCGCAAAATCAGCTGAAGAAGAAACTGTAAAATCAGTGGAAGAAGAAACTGCAAAATCAGTGGAAGAAGAAGAAGAAGCGGAGAAGTCGACGGAGAAGGGAACTGAAGAAGAAGCTAAATCAGCAGAGGAAGAAACTGATAAGCCGAAGTCTCGTGCTAGGAGAGAAGTTGGCGGAAAAGAAGGCGAAGAAGAAGGCGGAGAAGAAGGCGTAGGAGAAGGCGAAGAAGGCGAAGGAGATAGCGAAGGCTCGAAGGAACCAGGAGAAAGCGAAGAAGAACCTACCCCAGAGGAAGACTTGATCCGAGAGATAGTGGTACCGGAGAATTTACGACCGCGTGATCATATTAATCAGCTGTTAAAACTGGATGAAGAAAATGAAGAGAAAGAACGAGCAATACAGAAACACGCGGATGTTATACTAAAGGAACTGAAGAGGGTTTATGACAATGCCATCCAACCATTGGAGTCTTTGTATAAATATAGAGACTTGAGCAATAGACACTTTGGTGGTAAGCATAATTAAAATAAACAAAATGAGATAGGTCACTATTAATTGATAAAAAGATTATTCCTTAAAATAGTAATATTCAAAAATACTACTAATACTAAAGTACTAATATTCGATATTTAAATATGTAACATTAACTTTATAGATCCGGAAATATTTTCGAAGCCACTAGTCCTCTTCATGGGTCCGTGGAGCGGTGGGAAATCTTCCATCATAAACTATTTGCTCGATATCGAGTACAGCCAGACATCGTTAAGAACAGGTGCGTAAGTAGCGAGAAAACGAAGAAAGTAGTGAGAATTTGTTGTGCGAGGATGCTTCGACTTACTTTATATTGACGCTTAACTAAGTCGGCCGTGATCACGCCTTCAAATAGTAAAACAATGCTGATGTAAAGATTTAGCGCTAGAAGCATGCTAGGAGCATGAATATACAGATAGTGTTTAGGTGGTTTGAGAGAGTGCTTTGAGGAGCAATGCAAAACGCCAAATGGAAATGACACAGGAGCCGAGCCATCTCCGGCCTACTTCAATATTATTATGCACGGAGAGGAAGAGGAGATCCTCGATGGCACACAGCTAGCCGCCGACTGGACTTTCTCCGGATTACAAAAGTTCGGCCAAGGATTGCTCGATCGTCTTAAGGGTTTACGACTTGACAATAAATTGCTAGAAAAAGTAAATATATTCTTTAAATAATTTCATTCTATAAAAATTTGTTATTTAAATGATGTATTTTTTTACATTAATAGGTCAATATCGTCGAGATACCAGGAATTTTAGAAATTCGAAAACAAGTCCAACGTTTGTTCCCGTTTAACGATGCGTGTCAATGGTTCATTGACCGCGCAGACATAATATTTCTAGTATACGATCCATCTAAGTTAGACGTTGGGCCAGAAACAGAGGCTATCCTTGATCAATTGAAAGGAAGGGAACACCAGGTAAGCTTCGATATTAAAATCTGGACACTGTTAACACCAGGATAATGTGAACTTCCACAACAGACACGCATCATTCTCAACAAAGCTGATCAAGTAAAACCAGAAGAACTGATGAGAGTGCAAGGCGCTCTGATTTGGAATATATCCCCGCTGATGTCCAGCGCTGAGCCACCGATAATGTACTCCACATCATTGTGGTCGTTACCATACGAAGCTGGTGCACCTACCAGATTATTGTATGCTCAGGAACGTGCATTCCTACGTGACTTACGTACTGCCATCGACAAACGTGTCGAGCATAAGATAGCGAGCGCCAGAAGATTCGCTGTAAGTTATTACGATCGATTTTTCATTAATATGATTTTTCATCTTCTTAATCTGTTGTCTTTGATCGGTGATTAAATATGAAATATTTCTTCATGCTTATAGGTACGAGTGCGCAATCATGCTAAAATGGTAGATTGCTATCTAACCACGTACTACAATCACAAGACATTCTTTGGAAACAAAAAAGAGATCAGTGACAAGATTACCGATAATCCACAAGATTACCATATCTACGAGGGCTTAAGTACTTTGAAGAATATATCACGCTATGACTTGCCTGATCCAGACGTTTATCGAGACTTCTTCCGATTAAATCCTCTTTATGATTTCCCTCTACTAAGCTCTACGTGCACGTACTTCCGTGGATGTCCGATCAATAGACTCGATGTTGCCATTGCTTACGATTTGCCAGAGCTCGTAGGCAAATACAAGAAATCAGTAGAGCAAGTCATACACGAGTATGAAACAAGTCCTTCTAGTTGAGTGTAATCCTACATTCTCAAACAAAGCTCTTGATGCCACATGAGATATGAGGTGAGAGCAAATCGTACAAAACAAACAAGAGAAAGAGTGAGAGGAAACGAACATTGGTGTAAGTTCATTACTTGAAGCAGTACAGAGAAGAAGTTTCTTTCCTGAAATAGCAAAAACTTAGGTTTGGATCGCCTTCAGATAAAAGTCCAACTGGATCATACATGAAGAGAAGAGAATGCAAGATCTAAACAGAATTCTCCTGGAACATTATTTTGCGCGATAATATTAAATAGTTCATTTAAGGATGAGAAGACATACTGTGGAGTATGAAAACGTACTGTTGGTTTTGTAGGTAAATAATATGGATACTAATGACACAATAAGGAAGATGATATGGTTGGTTAATGATATGCTTAACATATATTTAAGTGTATTAGTGGATTGGAATGAATTGAAGGTTTCAAGAAACCTGTGTTTGGAAAATAGGACGAGTGTTACCATTCCAATCTAAGAAAAGAATAGTGTGTTTCCTTTGAATGTGTTCCAATACAGCTTTGATTACACAGTTATGGAAAACATATCACAATAATGGTGGGTCCTATTGTCTAACACACAAATATAGAAGTTGGAAATATAGTGAACTCGCGCGATAGACTTTTTTGGAACTTAGTGTAATGGTTGTGCTAATTATAGCATAACGCTGTGACACTTTCAGCCATCAGAACAACATACGATGAGAGCAGTTACATATTATAAGTATGTAAAATAAAATAAATAAAAATATTTCCATTAAGAAAGAGATAAGAATGATCTCTTTTTGAAGCTACAAATCGTGTTCTTATTAAAAGTTATAAATATTTATTTAAAAAAAATTAATTAATTACTCAATAATAACTTCCCATGTTGATATATAAACTATATTTCAATGTGAATGAATATATTGTTTGTTTTAGTAAAAAATTTGATTTTTAATGTACCTTGTGTAAATTAAATGCCTCATATAAATCATGAATTGTTTTGCATTGTTATTGTTGTTCACATGTGTGATTGATTTTTTTGAAAGTAAGCAAATTGTTATGTTATTCTACGTAAGTTAAGTATTGAGGTTTAATAGACTTAATTTATGTATTTTTCAAATAGGAATATATAAATTATACTTGTCATTTGTGTAAATGTGATATTCTCAATCCCAAATACAGATTATTTATATATATAATAAATAAGATTTAATAGATAACTAAAAGTATGATATATTAATCTAATATAACAAACAGGATTTAACTGATCTTAGTTACATAAAATAATACTATAAGAAAAATTACAATATGATTAATTGATAGGTATTCTTATTAAATGAGCATGCAATCTTTTCAATAATAAAAAATTTGAAAAATATGCAAAATGATTGAAATAATAAATTAGATTATGAGAAAGATAGTAACAATTTAAAAGGAAGATACTTACGTTTGGTGTAACTTCTCGTAACCACTCATCAGCTTGCTCATCAAAGTCAAATTTACAAGCAAGTCTCAAATCAGTAGCCGCTTCTTCGAATTTTCCAAGCAAGTGATAGGCCCTTCCTCTAAACTTGTGAGCTGCTGCACTATCCGGATTTAGTTCCAAAGCACGATTACAATCACGAATACAGGCATTAGGCTTATTCATTAACATGAAAATTTGTCCACGTTTGGCATAAAGTAACGATGCCTGTGGATTTAATACTATAGCTTCTGTATAAAGTTCTATAGCCTTTTCATAATCTTTTTCTATAAAAGCTGATACAGCTTCGGAACGTTTAGCCTGAGATTCTGCAATTTCTTCTTCTGTTGGTTGCAAAGTAGGATTTCCCATTTTTTGAGGAGTATCTTCATCTGGTTCTACAATTGTAATTTAGAAATATTACTAAATATTAGTATAAATTCTATTTAAATCTCAATATTATTAAAGATGCATACAAAAAATTAAGATTAAATAAAAAAATTAATGAAAATTAAGATAAAATTTTAGATAAACTTTTACCAATTACTCCATTCATATCAAGATCAATATCACTTTCTTCGCTTTCTGGTTCCGGTTCTGGATTTGGTTCAGGTTCTTTAGATGCATTTGCATCTTCTGATTTTTTGCTTGGTGGTTCATTACTTGATTGTTGATTTGTTTTTGGTATCCGTCCTCCAAAAAATTCAATGAACGTTTTTATAAAGGAATATTCTGGCTGATTTAACAAAGAAGGATTTATCATGCATATATTGAAAAATGCTTCCAATTGTGCAAGAAGCTCTGGTTTTAAAGGAACAGACATTTTGCTACCTAAAACAACAAATGAAAATAATAAATTATACAAAACGTATTATGCGCATTTATGCTGCATAGATATGAAAGAAAATTCTAGCAAACACGTAAACACGACCAACATATAACCATATATGTATCAATTATGTATGTCGAATGATTAGTCAATATGCAAAAAATTTATGTGACTTAAATAAAGTTCGATCTTTTAATACATTTTGATTTTTTGATATGTACAATAGAAAAAGAATTACAATGTTCGAAATACCGGTAATGGATAGTTCTAATATATATCAGAATTCGCATACTTACCGATAATAATATAGAATTTACGTAGATTTCGACGAAAGGTATGAAATAAATATTTAAGGTTCTGATATTATTGAAAATAATTTGTATTATTCGAGTTCACAAAATATGAAATTAATATTTGGAGCACAAGAAAATGCACTAGGCATACGATCGAAGTAGATACGTACTATTATATCCTAACAGAGACGGAGAGACCAAATTCATCTGATCGTTAGATCTGATACGCAATACTGTACTAGGCAGGGCAGAATACACATATTGATATGTTGGCAAGTTTACAACTGGCATCATTTATGCAACTAACATCTGATTAGTTTGAATTTCTTACTTTAAATAATAATAGAAAAGTGTGTTTACGCAAATACGATAATAAATATTGACATAGAAATAACAAGAGAAAATAAAGATATGTTTTGGATCAAATTTAATACGCATAACTTTTCAACCGCCAGATTTCTAAGCTTAAGATTTTTATTTCTATATTCTGCGTGTTGAAAACTGTAATAATATATAAAAAGAAAGTCAATAATTTTGTGTCCCCTAAAGTAAAGTACAACATCTGGTACAGCCAATTATTTTATTTTGTTCTTCATCAGCATTTCATGTACATTTTTCGTAATATATCTAAGTATGTGACAATATGATCTCAATGTCACTATTATGTCAAAAATATCATACTTTACCAAATATGAGTACATTTTTCAAAATTCGCCGCATATTTTCTTTTTTCTCTAAAAAAAATATAGTAAGTAAATAATTTCTCTTTCTTAAACAAGTTGCAATTACTTTAATTATTGCGCAATTTTGTTATTCTCATACTTGCTTATTTCGGATAGAAAAGTAAATTTTTCATAAAAGAGTTTCCGTAAAAAGAACTTTTCCGTAAAATTAATTTATAATTATAATATAATAGTAATTTATAATTAAACAGGTTTTTGTCTATACTAACGTGGAACCAAACACAGGGCAGATCCCTAATTTTTTGGTTCTTGTATATGCTAACGTCGATCAGCTTCAGCACTTGACCGCATGGTGCATCACCTGTACTGTGAAATTAGAACATTTTCTGTCTCCTATTGGCCATGGACTAGTAACACAAGCAACGTTCAAGTATTATTAACCGACAGCCAGTAGCTACAGCCGCAGTAATTACGTTTTGTATATTATCGACTTGTCTCGTTGGATGGAATATAATTAATAATAACTTTCCTTATTATTTACTAGGAAAGAATATACATGTTAGTAGTATATGCAAATAATAAAAAAACATGATTAATTTTATGTATAACTGTATTTTATTATACATAACCTTTAACCTTAACTTTCCATCGTTTTGAAGTATCAACTTTATCATTTGATAGTAGGGAAGTAATAAAACTTCGGAGGATAATAAAATGATCTGAATATATAATAAAAAAATGTTATCCCATTCTATATAGAACTACATCACTTGTAATTAGAAACTAGAGAAATGATAACGCTCTTTTTGTCCCATTATATTTTCCAGCTTTATTATCTTATACTATGAACTAAATAAATTGCAGTTAAAATCCTCATTATGCTACAGACAAAAATATGATCTAATATTTACAAATGAGGTGTGTAACGCAAGCTTAACAATAAGTTTTCAAAAATTTGATATTATATCGACAAGTTCATTACAAGACGGCACAGTATGTGGATATACCTTATCATCCACTCTCATTAAAAATTATCAACAATTACAAGACGGTTCTTCACAGTGCACACCAAGTCTATATCGTAGAAATTACTTTACTGTATAGAAATATCCAGCCACGCTGCAATATATTATGCTGTGCCCTATTGTAAGAAATTGGTTGTTCTCCTTTGCGCAACAGATAACAAAATTATATGTATCTGTTTACGAAATCCGTTGAAAAAAGTCTAAGATCCATTGTCATTCAATTTAATTGTTCGTCACACTATTTACATGTAATTAGTTACCTAAAAGTAGCGGTAAAATAGGTAACATCTATTCTATAGTAGAATTAATTATATGAATAGTTTCAAAAATTTTCTTTTTCTTCAAATTAACATTATAAATCAGAAAGCAGAATGGAACTTGAAATGCTAGTTAATTTAATAGCAACGCGTTAGAATACGAAATGAATGTCATGTACACAGTTATATGAGATATCCTTGTGGTGAATGAATATGGTTGTTATCACTATATGATTTCTTCGTTTAGAAACGTTTACCATTGTCACTTTTATGGCATGATATACTCCTTATTCTATGTTACATGTATGATAAGATACTTGACTGCGTTTAAAATGATACAATTACATAGAGACACTTGGCAAAAAATGAAACTTCGTACAGCAAGTACATAAACAGAATAGGGATGTATGAGACATTAAATGAGTGTGTCATTTTACTATTGTTCGTTCTTAACGTTCTTTTTCCCCCTTTTCCATTACATTATCGTAAAATTAACACGCAGATATTGTAAATTAATCGTCAGTACAAGTTTAGTGTTTCTTTCCCTTTCCTCTTTATTTTAATTAGATTTACCACTTCATTCTTCGAAATTATTTTACATATTCGAATCAATAGGAATTTATGGAAGAATTCATTAACATCGGTTTTATTAACGTAAGGTCTACAAAAATTATTGCGTGTTACATTTTGTTTACACCTTTAACGTTAGTTAATGTTGGATCCTTTGTTTACAATTTACACGCATCAATAAGTTATGGCAATTCGTAGGATAGCTTTCAAATAATATATTTAACATTCGCCATATTCTATGTAGGACGGCCAGTTGAAAACCTTTTATACATCTCCTTTCTTGTCAAAGGATTAAAAGACATTTTTAGCTCGAAACTGTTTTCCCTCCGAGAGCAAATTAAACATTCTCACGTGTGAAGTAGATTTCTTCTTAACTTTCAATCGTTTTTGAAATTTCACGCAGTTTCTAGATACACAGGGAGAAAAAAGGAAAAAAAAGAAAAGAAAAGAAAAGAAAGAAACCAGATGTTTTTTTCAGAAAAACAAACGAAACGAAAGAATCGATGATCAATTTCTTCAGCGAATATATGGAACGAAACAAAAAAATATATATTTAATGAAATCGCGTGGATGCATTCCTTTCTTTTTCCTTCGAAATCGATTTTCACGAACTCGCGCATTCGTATGTGATCATGTGTGTGTTGTGTGTGTTGTGTGCGTGTGTGTGTGTGTGTGTGTCGCGTGAATACAAACGATTTGCCTAGAAAAATACTGTTTTCAAACTGTGAAACGTCAAAGCAACGAAGTATTAGGATTATTTGTCACTTGAAGAGAGTTTAGAGGTCGTCAGAGAATAATTTTATACAACAATACGTCGTTTGGTTCTAAAGTAGAATTTCAGTGTCGCGCACGAAATTTATTATTCTTTTTTTAATGTTTCACGGATCTCAAGTAAAATCATTACAGCCCGATTTCCGTATAAAATTAGATAGTTTGCTTTGTACATTTCGTTATTCTCTTCTTCTTCTTCTTCTTTTTCTTTTTTTTTCGCTTTTTTATCTTTGTCGTTAAATCGTGAATCTCGACGTCGATAAAGATCGTGTGTACACGGCGTGCGAGGAAGAATTCACGCACGTGTGTTTCACCTGCGTTCAAATTATTATTTTCAGCCATTAATTACAACCGTTCCATCGATTACGATCACATCGTAAAGTGCTACGATTACTTTTCAACATCGAATAACACGGAATCTCTAATACGATTTCTCTTCTTTAACACGGCTTAAGTGGGACGATTCATTAAAACAGGGGGTTACAAGAGGGGGGAGGGACAGGGGGCTCACGTTTTTTAAACACGAAGGTGGGACTCGATTTCTTTTTTCTTAATATTTTTTGGAATGTTTGCTTACGAACGAAGCTTAATATTCGTTACGATCATTGTTCCGCCCCTTTTTTTTCTACTTCGTCTCGGGTAAAACTCCCGTTTGTTTGCCGCGTATATGACGATCGTTATGTTATTTTGATTTTGTCGTTTTAATCGATGCATTTTACAACCATCTATTTTAAGTTTGCCGGAACAGCGATAAAATTATAACGTTCTTTACAATATCTGGAATATTACGGCGTTTAATATATTATCATCGTTTCGTTGATCCGCCAATATGCTCCCGCGGCCGATAAAATTTGTCTGACTAGCGATAACAATGCTCTATCTGAGAGACGAGAAATCCCAATGCATGCAACGTCTGATCGAAATTCGTGGTAAACTGAATTGACTACGGTTTTCGATTCGCAAATGAAAAATCTTCCTGGCGGTCTCGCAACGCTTTATCAAATTCCCTTCTTCTCCGTCAAACTAGCTTTCTTCTTCCGCTTCTTCTCCTTCTTCTTCTTCTTCTTCTTCTCCGCTTGAACGTGCTTGAACGCAACGAAAGAAACCAACACATCAGACATTATCGAACATCTCGAGTAAAATCACGTTCGGTCTCGCTGTGTTCACGCATTGTCCCATTCTATACGACTATAACAACAATTTTCCAGCCCGGTCTCTAGCCTCGTTTTTTCACGTTATACGCGATGAAAACCTGTAATCAGCTCATTTTACGCGAGAAAACGACGGATCGAGGATCGCGAACGATCCCCGAGTTTCATACGATTTACGCGTCGTAAATAATGAATATTCGCGTTGGTGTCAACTGGTTAATAGTTTTGCTCGGTTATGATACACGTGATGCTCGTTAATGAAGAATCAAAAATGTGTTTTCTTTCGTTTTTTTTTCTTTTTTTGTACGCTGGTTGTACAATGGTATTATGCGGTCGCATTTCGATCGGAAAAGACGCGTTTATGTGTAGAAATAAATCTATGATTTGATTCTTAACCGCTAGAAATTTTGATATGATGTAAGTGTGTGTAAGTTATATTCCTCGTAGACTGTTTATTATTATTATTAATTATTCATTATTATTATTAATATTATTATTATTAATATTATTATTATTAATATTATAATTATTACTTTTTTTTTGTATTTAAGAATACCATTTTATTTTCATTTATCATCTTTCTCGTTTAAACAGCAAATAGAGTCAGGCGTATAGTTTTATATATAATACACTATTACAGTTTCTTTGTTTTTTTTTCGTTTTTGTTTTTTCAATTAATTCCCCTCCTCGTGATCTCTCGGAAGTTCCATGGCGTTCACAATTTCATTTCCATTTTCCTTTTTTTTTTCTCGACTCGATACGGCTCTCGTGGTGGGTGCGATACGTGTGTTTCCTTCTCTCTCTCTCTCTCTCTCTCTCTCTCTCTCTTTCTCTTTTCTTCTCTCTTTCATTCGCCTTGCGTTCGGTGTGAGATCATCTTCGTAAAGTACGACGAACGTAAAACAAGAACAACGGACATCGATATTTAGACACAGAGAGAAAGAGACGGAGTGATTTTTGGTGGTTTTCGCGACGATGGTGATTAACTATCTTGTAAACACGTTTCTGTTCTTTTTTTTTTAGGGGGGGGAGATGGTAAAAGCTGGGTTTTCGTTCGTCGTCGAATGTTCTTTCTAGTCGGAACACCTTTCTATTTTTTCTTTTTTTTTATACAAAGAATATATCGCGCGCTCGATTCTCATATCGTGTCACAACGCTCAAAATAGCTCTTACGATAGACGAGGTAAAATTTCGAACGATTCACCTAGCAGAAGGAAAGTTGTCCTATTCTTATTAACTTCGACGACAGAGTTCCATTCTGTTTGTTTCTTTGTTATCTTTTTTTCATCTTGCGTTTCGAACAAACACGCTTCGTTTCTTCTTTAGCGAGACTTTAAAGTAATATTGTAACGTCAAAGGAACTATACAACAAGCTTATTACAGAGCAACTTCTTCCTTTCTTTCTTTCTTTCCTTTTTTTTGGTTTCCTGTGTTCTATACACGTGTCGTTTTACCTCGCGATGTCGAAATAAATGGAAATCGGTTTCGCCTTTGCGACAATTTTACCAGTACAATTATTATTCGTGTTCTGTGATCGATCTCGTTGATTAAAGTTGAAAAGATCGTGTACTATCGGCATCGTGTTTTACTTCTCTATAGTCCATATTCATGAGCGTGTACGTGTACGTGTGATGTGTTTATTCGCAATTTTTCAAACTTACTCGCTAAATAATTTGTTAATTTTATAAACAGCATTCATACGGATAATCTATGTCTTAAGAGTACTTAAACCGAAAAAGGAAAAGAAAAGACGAGAAAAGGAATCGGAAAGGAAATCTGAACAAAAACGAAAACGGCGACACATTGATTGATGATAAGTCGATCGCGAAATCAGACATTAAAATGCTAAATCATAGTGCTAGCCATCCCCATAAACCTATAATCGTATCTGCATGCACTCAACGTACCAATTATTTAAATAGGCGTATTATTTTCTTATACGAGGAAAAATGCGCGTGTTTCGATCGATTAAGAACTATGTATCTACATACTCGAGGAATATGAAAGAATAAGCCGAATAAGAAAACAACTATGTGCGATAACGATATTTTTATATCATTTTTTTCTAATCTCCTTCCGAGATTGCTATATATCCGATTTTTAATTTTTCAATGTCACCAGTCAACAACGCGATAAAAATTTTTCTTTAAATTTCATAAGACGCGATAAGCAAATCGTAAAGGACATTTCGAACTAACAACAATTTCGTTCGTAATTTTTCATCCTTAGAATTATTACATTTTTCAGAAATGATGGCCTATAATGAATTAAGAAACACATGCGCCAAGTTGAATTTCTATGGTACACAGGTTTATGAGTCAAGCAGATACCGACGATCTCGAATGTGTAAAGAAACGCATTGTCCGTCGACGTTCCATACGATAATAAATTAAATAAACATCCGGCATCGTTTCGCCTCACGATGAATTTCACTACATAAGAACATTATATATACACGTATTATGCATTGGTAAGAGTCATAGTACATTATACAGTAGTATAGTTGAGTACAGAGTAGGCTACAACTTATCGTAAAATGGTTTGGTTGGACCTAACTATAATCAATACTCGCGATATTGGGTATACTCTCACCTATAACATGAATTGATCGTTTGGGTCTATGAATGACGTTTCTAGGCCCGATCGATATAAAAAAAAAGTAAAAAAAAAAAAAAAAGGAAAA